CCCATGTAGTTGACCACGGTTCAAGTCTCTGGACCCGACGGCTTAAACTCACGCTGGGCGCATGTGCGTGCATGCCTAGGATCCCAAGAGGACAATGGAGGAGAAGGGATTGCGGTGTGGCTGTCCACCCAGGGGTGATTTTTCGCTTTCTGTCTCTCTGTCTCTGTCTTTCTGGCGAGCACACATGCCCTTTAGCAAAAACCTCTCCAAAAATAAAAAAAGATAGTTTTGATTCCTGGGTGTCTTGAAATTTGATGCCCTGAGCTCATATTTGATGGAGTTTTATTTATTGAAATCCTTTAAGCCTTGGGCTTAAATGTCAAGAGGTTTATATTTGCCACTACCAAGCTATTAAAAGGATGTTAACCTGAAATTATGTTAAGGTAATTTACCAGGGTCAGGGTATATAGTTGCTTTTATTCCAGGAGATTATTTTTTTCCCAAGGAAAACCTTTTCCTGGATCATGAATTAGGCAATGTGATTAAAACCACAAATGCATTAGGGTAAGCTGAACTATTAGAGAATTTTTTTCCTTTTACCCAGAGCCCCCTAATCCTAAAAGATCAATTTTCTTATCAGCTCTTTTTCTGGGGAGGTGAACTTTTTCTTTAGTTTGACTAAGGATCTAATCCTTCAGGATATGGGGGTCAGTCTCAGTTTTTTGCCTTCACCTTTCATGGGTCCACAGTCTCTTTGCCTGGTTTCTGTTAGCCTTTAGAAAATAAACTTGTAGCCACAGAGGCTGGTAAACACTTCAAGATAGGCACCAAGCCAGCTTTAATCTACTACTTCTAATCAACCACTTTTAGTTAATAATGAATACCTCAGAGGCCAAAAAGAAAAAAAAAGAAGAATAGTTGGCCATACAAAACAATGAAACACTGACCTTTGATACAAAGCGGATGAATACTGATTTAATGCTAAGCGAATCAAGTAAATCTATATTAGAGAGACATTGTAAGTTCCCGTTGAATATACACTGCATGTGTGCACTCGATGGCAAGATACCACAGCAGGGAGCACAACTGTAGACACCAGAGACAGTATAGAAACGGGATGAGAGAGAGAGAAGATAGAAGAAAAAACATCTAACAGACACAGGAATCTGGACCACCAGTGGCGTAATGGTAAAGGTTCTAGACTCCCACCTGGCCAGCTGTGGTTATAGTCTCAGACGTGGTGGCTTGGAAATCACTCTGAGAGTGTATGTACGTGTGTGTGTGCACATGCTCAAAATCTAAGAAGGAGAAAGAAGGAGACTGGGTTATGGTGTAGCCATCATCTGTAGGGGGGTGATTTCTCACTTTCCTTTTTCCTGTCACTGTCTCTCTCCAGCAAGCACATATACCCTATGGTAAAAACTTAAAAATACATAAAATAAGAAAAGTTATCTGCTGCTGATTATAGACATAGAAATATCTGTGACTGGGTTGATATGTACTATACTTATGCTGTACAAAACCATTTTGTACATTGTAAAGATGTATAGTGATTAAATAGAAATGTTAAAAACTGCAAAATAAATAAAACAACAAAAATTATTACTGTTAAGCTCAGCCCTGTACCTAAAAAAATATATGTTATATTTAGCCCAGGATTTTTAGATGATTCATAGTTAGGGAATTTTTTCAGGTTATCTACAGTACTATAATGTTCAAAATGCAGACTTTTACTGCAGGTGTTCCCAAGATTGGCACCTTCTCTTCCTTAGCTTATGTGAGTAGCTTATGTATGTATCCACTTCCCATACAAGTTATTTGCTATTGCATTATATTCTTTTTATTTTTCTCTCAGTGAACTCTGCAATAATCTTTTTCCAAAGGTTTTCCCATGTATAGTATGTGTCTTCTACCAGTGTGGAAGGGCCATGATCTTTTTGCAGGGCAGTCCTGAGGACAGTGTATCGCAGAGTGGGCACTCAAATATTTGTTAGACGAATAATTTCTTTCCTTGAAGTATACATGAGATTACAACATAAAGTATGTTTTTAAAACATCAGATTATATCAGCAAATACAACACAAGAATGCTTAGAATTCTGTTTGTTGTTTAAACCTGTGGTCTCAAACCATAAGAAAGTTAAATAATTACTCTTAAATAAAGATGGTTGAGTTAAAAACACTTTCCTGTGTATCAATAGGATAGCATTTACTTAGAAATTAAGAACAGGGCTATTCCAAATCATTTACACTCTCTCTAGTGGCAGGTATCTTACAAACAGCCCAAAACATACCAGGTATTCCTATTTGGGTATGCCTTCCATAGTAAGTTATGGAGTTACTATTCTATCAAATAAAAATCCAAGAAAGTGATTTTTATTCTAGTATGTTGAGTTTTAGTAAAATTTTTAGTAATAATTATGAAAATGTGCTTTAGAGAGTAACTTGAAAGTATCTTTAGGATATGACACCATCCCACCTCCAAAGAGAATTAAGAGCCTCGTATGTATGGGTAGAGCTATTTCACTTACAGGGAGTTGAGTTCTGTATTTAGCTATTAGGACAAGTCAAATTTCATGATGACAACTCTAAACTTAGAAAATACAATTTAAATATGGCTATTTCCCCCCTCCTGTAATCCTGGGAATGCTCTTGTTTTAATGTAGTTCTTTTACCATTCAAAACAGACTTCTCTTCAGGAAAAAAAAAAATCTTCAGGAATAAAGGTAACTACATAACCTAACCTCAAACAACAATACAAGTGAAAACAACCATAAAGTAAGCATTTATTGAATATTGAAGGGGTGGACATGGAGCTAGGAGCTTGATGTGCATTTCTTTATTTAACATTAAGGATTCTCTTACGATGTAAGTTTTTTTTTTTTTTTTGTTTGTTTTTTTTTTGCTATAGGGCACGTGCGCTCGCCAGACAGAGAGACAGAGAGACAGAAAGCGAGAAATCACCCCCCCAGCGGGGATGGTCATGCCGCAATCCCTTCTCCTCCATTCTCCTCTCGGGATCTTGGGCACGCATGCACACGCACCTGGCGTGAGTTTTAAGCCACCAGGTCTGGGACGCGAACCGCAGTCGACTATGTGGGAGTCCAGTGACATAGCCATTATGCTAACTGCTGGTCCCAGGATGTAGTTATTATTGTTATTATTCCCATTTGTAGGTGAGTGAACTGAGGGAGGTAAAGATGTTAGAGAACTTGCTCAGGTGACATAGTTACAGGTTAGTTAATAAAGTTCATATTTATAACAATTATTTAAATTGCACCACAAAGAGAAACATATTGAATGCTTAGTCCTGTTTTGGAAGTAGTTGGGTAATTCTATACTTTTTGTTTGTTTCATTGGGGGAATACAGAGTCAGAAATCCCTATTGTGAGTTACATGTGTGCTTAGGTCATACGGGACAAATGAAGTCAGATGGAGGCTTTATTCATGCATGTTTTCAACCCCAGGTTGTATCCATTTGAAGGATAATATCAATTACATTTAATTCAAAATTATGTTAAGGAATTTTAACTTCACTGACAATTTCTATTTGATTTGAGTCTATAGCCATAAATCTTGTTGACCTGCTATTTCATGAACATACCCTAACCAGGTTTCCTTCTTGGACTGAAAATCTCATCTGAGTTGTGATCTCTGTGCTTAAGCAGATTCCAAGTCAGAACTTGGAATCTATAATAAGCTATTTACCTTTTTTTGTATTTCAAGTAAAGGTAATCCTGAAAAACTGGCTACTTTGTTTCTTTAACTCTTGGGTCATTTTTAAAGACTTATTCTTCACGCCCCCTAGGTCAAAGTCTTTAATAAATATTGTCTAGAGCTGGAAATTTACTGATATGTAAGACCTTGTCTTAGTCTTTTTGGGTTACTTCATTTGCTTTAGCTTTGTATTCTTTTGCTTGTATGTTTTACATTTTCTCCCTCTTAGGTTCCTCTAGGGTTTCATTCAGTCAGAAAGCTAAGATCTTAGCACTAAGTGGCTACGGAGGAAATCCTCAGCTCCACCAGGACCATGCACCAAACTCACCCTGTAATGATGTCATCCAAAGGGGAGCATCAAGTCTGAGGAAGGGGACTTTCTGCTTCCTTGGTAGGGGTGGAAAAGAATCAGAGACCCTAGAGAACTGTTGACATTTGATGAAGTCTGTGTTCTAATTGTTTATTGCACTAAACATTTGAAAATCACAAGCTCTTTGTAAATAATAAATAAAAGGCGTATGTCTCTGAAGACGTCACAGGCTATTTCTGCAACTTTGTAATTTTCAAAGCCAGTAGCTTTTTTTTTTTTTTCTATTTAACTAAGTTTAACTGTAGGTCAAAAATAAAAGAATAATACAATGGTCTCATATTCAAGAATCTTATAAATTTTCTACAGAAATGGATGTTGTAAAAGAAAATGACATTTCTTCCAGCAGCCTGAGAGAAATTATTATCTTGCCTTAAATTACAAATGCACTGTTAACGACCTTACAATTCTCTGGACAGAAGGGTTGAAATAATAAGCCAGTGTTGCTTTACACTTGGGACTGGTACAATTATACCATGCATATAAGGGCAGGCACTCATGGGACATGGTGTCCTGACACAGATCCTTACAACAGGACAAAAAAGAAAAACTTGAGAGAAAAATGACATCGGAATACTTAATGCCAAATTCCAATGTTAAAGCTTATTTCAGTTTAACTATTTTCAACTGAATAGCTTGACATCGCTTATTATTTATTATTATTATTTGCTTTAAAACTGCCATGGCTGAATTTTGAAAGGTAGGAAACCATGGGAGACTAATTTAAATGGGAGGAATAATACCTTCTTTCTTCTGATAAATAGATAAATTCAATTTGTTTTGGAAATTAAAAAAAAAAAAAACCTCTTCTGACTTTCTATTAAAAGTACATATTAACCCAGGAAAGTTATTTATTGCCTGAGGAATTCAGCTCTATATCAATAAAGTCTCTTGATGTCTAAGACTTAGAATAAATATCAATAAGATGCAAACCCAGTCCTACGCACTCTATGTAGTCTAAGAGATGATCCACTCACCAATGGTTCTGGCAGGTGCTCACAGCTGGGTCTCCACTCTTTGCCATGTCTGGGACTTTTTCTACCTGCAAACACTCTTCTGCTTCCTCTAAAGGGCTGCTTTTGGAAAGGAAGGGTTCAGATTCTCCACACTCTTCCCTCTGATCTGTTTCAATCTGAATCAAAGGCACTTCCCTTGAGCAAAGGGATCGCCTAGTGCAGTTTCCAGTAACAGTATCATGGCAGGAAGTCTTTTCCTTTTTAGAATTTGAACTGTCCTGATTTGTAAAAGGTGCAGACGACACTGCGGGATGTTTGGTTTCAATAATAGAGTCTTTCCTTGGGTAATGGACAGACTCCTGAGCAAGCAGAGTTGGCCCACAGGGCAGTCTGCTCACAGCTGATCTGTTTGCACTTCTCTCCTCTCCCGAGAGAGAGCCACCAGGAACAGACCCGGGCTGGGCATCGGCTGCCTCTGCATCATCTACTATGATTTTGTTTTTGCGCATGAGGGCCTCAATTGAGTTTGCCCATGTTTCATGAATTAACATGTTTGTGATCTGGTCAGTCCCACCTCTCCGATACAAGCAAGAGTCGGATTTGCAGAGACCTGATGAGGAAGCGCTAGCAACTGGCTGTACGCTTAGGAAATCTTGTGGGCAGTTTTGAGCAAATCCATCTAAGGAGTTGGCTTTGACGGGTGCATTCACTGTTAACCTGGTACATGGAGCTGTGCTGTCCGGCATGGATGACTGTCTGTGGCACAGCAGGGGTCGGAAAGAAGGAACCAATAAGCCAGCTGCCCAGTCTTGGCTGTTCCTTCTGGAGGAGGTGCTGTCTTTGCTTTCTCTTTCAATGTCCCTCAGCATGTACCGGTAGAACTCCTCGGTGATGCTCTCTGTGCTGGACTGCTTAGAGGGACAGCTCGGCCTCACGCTCAGGTGGTCACTTTTCCGGCATGCCTGTTGCATTGCCGAGTTCAGAATGCTGCTGGCGTTCTTGCCAGCATAGTAATCCAGCAGGAGCTCAAAGCCTCTCCCCTCGTTTTCCATCTGGTTCACCATGAACCTGGAAAACTCATCAGTGATGCTCTCACAGCTCGATTGTTTAGAGACAGAGCTGGCCCTGCTGACTGGCTGGCTTAAGGTACTCATTAAACCCAGGCTGTTTGCATAGGCTCTGGCTTCTGAGTCCTCCTCTGGAATGCTCTCACAGCTGGAGGCCTTCAGCCGGTTCCACCTGTCACTGCTCAATAACCGACTCCGGGAATAACTTTGGGCTTGCCACACACCGTCCACCGTGGAAAATTCCTTTAGGCTCATGATCTTGGCGGCCACTTCGTTTGCAAAAATACTGACAGAATCTGGGATGTCCTCGAGGTTCATAGACTCATCCACGACCCTGTTCATCAGCTTCTCCTTCAGCTCAGGGTGCTCGTCCGTCTTCCTTTTGATCTCACTGAGCCTGGGTGGTTTGTGTTTCCTCACAGTAGCCCCACCAGCTTGGCTTTCCTTCTTTCTCTTCAAGGACCTGCAAGATATGTTTGGTGTAACCAAAAACTCATTCCCTCTTTTCCATGCACAAAACCAGGGTTGTTTTCCATTTGAGTTGTCAAGGCAAATTGCTGCGATTTCAGTTGCCATGGAGACAACTGTCTCTGCTAATTCTTCCGCAAAGTCTGTAATGCAGTAGATGTCTGCATGCTTGGCTTGTGGTGTGGACTGAGCAGGGAGCAGCAACTCATCCCCTAACAGGGACAGGTTAACTTGAACTTCGCTGTTGAGAGGCATGGCACAATCGTACTTTTCTTGGGTATTTGGACTAGTACTGTCCTCAGCATCCCGGGACCTGCTCCTGCACTTGCTGACTGTCAGTGCCCTCTCTTCCTCTGAAGAGTCTCTATGTTTGTTTTCACTGTGACGGGGTGTCTGATGAGGGGTTTTTGAATCCTCTCCCATCGTGCCTTTCAGGTATATTTCCATGGGAGATGTTTTAGTCGTTGAAGAATCAAGCATTCTGTGACTACATGACAATTCAAATTGCACTGTGGGATTCCTGAAGGGGCCTGGTCTGGTTTCACCCTGGTTGCCTTGCTGTGAATGCCCATCATATACAAGATTATTGGTGACAAGACTAGTATGGTGTGGACTGCTAAGTGTATGGTCACTGGAATATTCAATGGCTTTTGTCCATGTTTGACCAGCAGCCTGACCAGATGACTGGCAGCCTATTTCTGCTTCCCGCCATCTGATGGTCTCCTTAGAAGGGACACTGGGACATTCACCAAGCCGTATAATATGACTCATCTTCTTGAATGTGACACATATCACATTGAAGAGCAGTTGATTCGTGCTTTCCATTAAGGTGTCCAGAGTTTCAGATGAGTGCCTGCCATTGCTGGTTTCAATTAGTTTATTTTTCTGGTGAACTTCTTCAATGGAGTGCTTCAGGATAACATTGGACAGGGTCTGTGCCAGTTCACTCCTGAGGGCATTTTCTGAGTACATGGTCTGAGGCTTTGAAGCAGTTTCTATGATTCTACTATTCATGGATTCCATGAGGTCTCCAATGCTGCTGTAGGCATTAGGCTTTGTTAAAACCAGAGCTGCTTCTCTGAACAATGCTTCTGCAATGGCTTCCTTCCCCAGCTCTAGGCTCTTCCCTGTTGCTAAGCTAGAAAGTGAGGGGATTGCTTCTGAAGCCTCAGCTGCAGGCAAGAGGCCACTTGAAGCCACAGGGTATGTCACCTCTTCTCTTTCACCCAAACCACACACAGCAACAGCACTGGCCACCTGAGTCATTCCACACAAAGCAGATGGAAAGGAGTATTCACTGATGGAAGGTTCCTTGGGTCCTGGGTAAGCTTGTGTTCTCAGTGTTTCACTGCCACCTAGCTGAGGGTGTGGTACCAGGGACTCTTGCTCCATTTTGAGTCTTTCGGTGGCCTGTGGACTGGAAATGGTTCCAATCACTGTGGCTGCACAAGCTAATGCTACCTCCAGAGCACTCTGGGAGTGTCTGCTGGAGGTTTCTCCAGAAAGAACACCTGTGGTTTCAACAGAGATGTCTGCCTCTGGACATGAGGAGATGCCTGGCTCAGGGGCAGCATCGCTACCATCTGGACTCTGAACAATGACGATTTTAGGGAGCTCATTCCATGACCGAGGGACCATGATATCTTTGGTGGAACAGCCACTGGGAAGCAGAGCACTTCCTACAGAAACACTGATGGCAGATTCCTGGGGAAGTATAGGCTGAGATTGAGATAATCGAATAAATGCATCTTGCAGCACAGATTCTGCTAAGTTTGTAGCATACTCGCCTGCTGTGTCTTCTCCATCTTGTATAGGAAGAAGAGAGTTTCTTGGTAATCCATATCCTTCTGGGCCAGGGTTGTTGCCCTGCTCAGTAACAGTGCCACATGCAGAAGGTACATCTTTCTTAGCCATCTTGGAGAAATAAGCATCACTTGGGATATACAGTGCCTGTGATTTTCCCACTTGACTTTTAGAATTTTCCGAATAATAATAATTTGTAGCTGGTCTCTCATGCCCCAAGGCTTCACCTTTCCACAGTGAAGGCTTGACTGAAGGATCTAGACTCTGCAAGGCTACGTTGTCTGCTGTGTTCTCCCAAGATTGTTCTGTTCTAATCAATGGTGTATGATATTTGCTAATGTATTTGTCTTCCAAAGCATAAAACATTTTTTCCTTGTTGTAATCCCATTCCTCCTGTAAAGTTTCCTTTGGCTTCTTACTTTCTAAGACATTGACTGAGACATTTATATTTTCATAACCTAGTGAAGAGAAAGTGAAGATTACCATCACTTTTTGTTTAACAGATTGTCCTGAGTCTAAAATAATAATTACTTTTTAAAAAGAGAGACTTTTGCTATAGGACACGTGTACATGCTGGAGAGACAGAGTGAGAAATCACCACACCACACCACACTCTCTTCTCTAGTCTCCTCTTCGGATTTTGGACATGCATGCACATGTGCCTAGTGTGAATTTCAAGTTGCTGGGTCCAGGACTCGAACCACAGTTGGCCATGTGGGAGTCCAGCAATGTAACCACTACACCATCTACTAGTTTCAATAATTACTTTCTGAAAATGCCTTATAATATCAGCTATCTTTTGTTTTACCTCAAATCTAGCGTTTTACATATTTCCTCAAGGGAAGTGATTCTACAAAGGCTTTCACATTTCACTATGCGATGTCAACCAACAGAACAGTTTTCGATGTGAGATACTTATGTAAAAGCTAGAGTAGAGAAGGTGTTTGGGGACTTGTCCCCATTCTTCCAGGGAAAGTAGCCAAACAATTTCATCTTAGAGTTTCCCAGTGTGTACAGAAAGAAGATGAGTAAAGCAACCTGCTGTCAAGTTTGTATAAAACGTGCCTCAGAGACAGTAGTGACGACATCTGGGGTATCCCTTCCTTTGTGTCTAAGACTTGGGGAGAGAAACTGATTGTCCACTGGGTCTTATTAATGACTCACTGAAAGAGCTGAACATATATGATTGCTAGTACTCTCCCAGGTTTTCTCCTGTCCTCACGACAATCATGAGCTTTGGCCTGGGTGTACTCCCTAATGCAGATAAAGAAGTCAGGGCTCCAAAACACTAGATAACCAGCCCTAGATCTCACAGGATCCAAATGGCAGTCCCAGGAAACAAATCCAGACTAGTCAAGCCAGATTCCAATTAATATATGACTTCTATAAGAGTCCTAGGGAAGTTAGCTTTCCTCCCAGTATAATAGCCTCCATCTCTTTGCAAGTGGGAGGATTTATCTTTAAAATACACCTTTCCTTTAGCATCCCTAAGGCATTTTTTGGAAGCCTGGATCCATCCAACCATTAAGTCGGCTAAGTGCATTAGTCAGTGTTTTCACTGGTATTCTTTTATCTTTGTTCCTTAAAACTCAGCAAGAGAGAATTGTGATGTGTCAGCCCAGCTGAAGTGTCCTGACGCTTTTATGAAATCTCATCCAGGGAGTTTTACATGGTAACCAATTTCAGAATACACATTTGTTTTATTGGCAAGTTCTCACCGTTCCTATACTCTTCCACCTCACTTTCCTCCTCCAAGTGCTCAGAGGCAGTGAGAAAATCTTCCTCAATTGAGGACAAGGAGCAGTTTGTGTCATCCTCCAGTTTCAAGATGTTTGTTTCCAAGTGGAGCTGCCGCTCCTGAACCAGTTCTAGACCAATCAAAAATTTGTTGATTTCAAAGATGATGCAATTGGTACTATTTGGTCTGTTCCCTCTTGCGCATTGGACCAAGCAGATATCTGGCAGCCAAGGGCACTAAAAGCAGAGAGAAAAGGAGGCATTTATTAAAAAGGGAAAATAAAAGACTATTGCTTCTGACCTTTTTCTTTGCAGCAATATCTCCTGTTAAAAGGAGTGGGACCTTTAAAATATTTGAAATATCTTCTGGGTTTGTATTGATGAACTGCTTGAAAAAAATTCAAGTGATGTGTGGGGACATAGGGTACCCAGGAGAGTCTGACTTAGGGAAAAATAGATCAGCCATGTCACATATTTTAGTTCCTCCCGGTCAAAGTGAAAATTGAACTGGACATGAAAGACTTTATTCCAGAGTATTGAAATGGGCTGAAATAAAAGTCAAGACGGTTAAGAGCTGGGGTTGAGCGGAACTTTAGGGCATCTGTGTTTGCTAATTGTCTTTACCCAAAGGAAAAGTAAATTTTCTTCTTTTTTTTCTTAAGGGGAAGTAGCTTTACAACTCAGAGCAAGGTGATCACAGAAGTTGGTCTCCTATCTGCATACAGAGAATGAAAGATTAAGAGCACTATTAATATTTTGTTGATTACTTTTTGTAATTTTAATATAATTACTTATTTAATTTTATTTATTATTACTATTTTTTAATTTGACAAGAGAGATAGAGAAGGAAAGTGAGGAAGCAAGCCACCAGGTCCAGGGCTCTCACACGGTCTCCCACATGAGAGTGCAGTACCTTAACGACCACAGCACTTTCCAGTCCTGGCGATTATTTTATTTACATATTTATTTTTGGAGAGGTTTTTGCTATAGGGCGTGTGCGCTCACCAGAAAGACAGAGAGAGACAGAGAGACAGCAAGCAAGAAATCACCCCCCAGGGGGGATGGCCATGCTGCAATTCCTTCTCCTCCATTCTCCTCTTGGGATCTTGGGCACATATGCACACGCTCCCGGCATGAGTTTAAGCCACCAGGTCCAGGACTCGAACCGCGGTCAGCTACATGGGAGTTCAGCGACATACCATTACGCTAACTGCTGGTCCCCTGGCAATTATTTTTTAAAGAGATAGCTCCCAGGTCCTTGACTGTCACTCCTGGGCTATAAAACTGGCAAGAAGCTTTGGAAGAAGATTTATATCTTGAAAGGGCAGAAAAAGCACTATAGCTATAAATTTTCTAGATTAAATGCTCTAAGAGAAGTCAAGCTCTCGAGTCAGAGAGAAGCCTGTTTAAAGTTTGATCAAGTTTGGGGACTGTTAAGGCTGTCTTGGTCTCCTTTCTTGATTAAAGAAAGGAGTTTTGAATTGAGTTCCAATTGCTCAGATTAATATCCTTTTCTGCTTTGATGATATTAAAACCTCTGCCAGTATTTCAGAGGTGTGGTTAAGTGTTCTATAAACTATAGTTAGATTTTGTTCCGTGTATTTCTCATCAGAAGTAGCGAACCGACATGAAATTTTAAGTACTCTACTGGAAGTACTATCTCTGAAGAACCGACCTGAGAAGAACGGTGATAAAGAGGCCGGACCACATTATTGAGTGGTGTCCCAGTTAGACCTTATAGTTCTGTTCAGTTTTAGGGTTACAGACCATGTCCTTACTCCCCACTATACACTTTCACTATTCATATTATTATTCACTAAGATATAAATTAAATAGTTTTAATTGCTCCTGTACAGATTACCAATAAATAAAAAAGACATGTGCATCAGGATTTTCATTTTTTTAATTGCCCAAGGAATGTGCACTTGCCAGAGAAAGACAGAGAAGGAGAAAGCACCCTTCAGTGAGGCATGGTTATGCTGCAATCTGGCCTTCCCCCTTTCTCCATCCAGGATTTGGAGTATGTGAGCACAGGCACCAGACATTTTTTTTTTTCAAGCTGTTGGGGCAAGGATTTAAATCACTGTTGGCCATGTGGGAGCTGGCTCCTTTACCCACTAGGCTATGGGGCCAGCCCAGAGCATTCGTCTTAATAAGAGGAATAAGGAGTCAGACTACTGACAGAAGTAGAATGAGAGTCTCTAGCAGGCTGACATACATGGGAAGTTTCTTTTTCACATATGGAGACCTCCCTTAGTACACCAGGTATGCACAAGCAATGCTCTAGGGCCGGCTGAAGCTGTAGAGGGATTGCAGTGACAAGATCCTGTTTGGAATGTTTACTCTCTTTCTTGCTCATAGAAGAGAAACTTATTTTTTTTTTAAAGAGGAACTACTGAATATGTGATGGTTCATAATTATTGCTATTATTATTTTTTTAATTTTAAATTTATTCTATATTCATTCATTGTACATGATCCCAACATACAAAATGCAATTTCCCATCCAGAATACACTGTATATTGGTTTGATCAAGGATAATACCATATATGTTATTGTCAACAATTAATTTTCCATTTCTTGTTTCTTATATGTTTTTGCCTTTTTTCCCCCTCTTCTTTTTCCCTTAATTCTCTACTTCTCACCCTCTGCCACTTCCCCCATCTTCCTCCCACACTGTCTCTGGTATCTACAGTTGCTTTCCATGCCTTTTTTCCCTCCACATTTTGTTGATTTACAAAACATCTTGATCTAAATACTTTCTGTAGCAAGTTCAGCTATATATACATATCTGTGAACACATGTGTGACTTTAGGCATAAAACTCAGTGAGTAGAATGAATATATTATAAAGTAGCATCTAGCTGAGGCTGTATAGCTTACTATAGTTATTAAATAGGTATTTTTAAAAATATATTGTTTAATTTCAAGAAAAGCACTTTTTGCTCTAATAAATCAAAATATGAAAATGATAAGAGAAATTTGTTTAAGACTTAAAGCCAGAAAAAAGGTTAGGATTCTTTTCAAATAGTAGGTAGATGAATCTATCAACAGATGGAGAAGACAAAAATCCTTAAATTCTGAAAATAAAGTGTAGAAGAAAATCAGTAATGTTTTAGTCAAAAGTCATAAAATTCTATTTCACCAATTCAGTCTCATTTAATAAATCTCTCTTCTGTTGTAGTCTGATCGTTCCATTTAAATTTTGGAAGTTAACATTCAACTCCAGACTTGTCCCTACCATTAAGTTGTCCATTTTTTCATTTGTTATTATTAAGAGAAAATGCCCTAAACAGAAACAAGACTTAATGGTCAAGAGAATTAAATAAATTGATCTGAAAGAAGAACTTGAATTGCTTGGAAAAAATATTTTATGTCTAACTATTCACCTGATACAAAAAATTATTGGGAACCAGCAGTTAGCATAATGGCTATTTCGCTGGACTCCCACGTAGTCAACCGTGGTTCGCGTCCTGGACCTGGTGGCTTAAAACTCACGCCGGACGTGTGTGCGTGCGTGCCCAAGATCCCGAGAGGAGAATGGAGGAGAAGGGATTGCAGCATGACCATCCCCCGTGGGGGGGTGATTTCTTGCTTTCTGTCTCTATGTCTCTCTCTGTCTGTCTGTTGAGGGCACCCGCCCTATAGCAAAAACCTCTCCAAAAAAAAAAAAAAAAGAATTATTTAAATCATATGCTGATTCGTGTTTGGAGGTAATGGGTCTAACACTAGTGAACTTGCCATTTTGGAGTTCTTGAGTCTGATTGTGTGTATATGTGCATAGTGAGTGTGCATATATGCAAACGAACACATGCCAGCACACATAGATATTTATATTTCTTAAAAATAGTACATATTTTTATTACATAAATACCATTTATCAATCTCTTTGATAAAATATTATAGAGGAATTCTAGAAAATATGATTATAAAATAAAAATCCAATCATTCTCCAAGGAGTTCTGAGATCCCTAGGGGGCTCAGAAATAGAGTTCACCTTTGTGGATAAATGAGTAAGTCTGTTTTTGAAGAAAAGTGCTCTATGGCCTTGCTTTTCAAAGCATAAGTTATGGATTAGCAGCCTCAGCATTATGTGGGAGCTTGTAAGAAACGTGCAATGAGGGGTCAGCAGGTTGAGTGGTGGTTAAGGTGCTGGATTTCCAGTCCCAAAATTTATGAGTCACACTGAATGTGTGTACTTGCATGCACCAAATCCTGAGAGAGTGGAAGAGAAGGTATTATGGCCATTTCCCCTGGGGGGCAATTTCTCACGTTCCTTCTCTTTGTCTCTCTCTGTATCTCTCCTGCCAGAGTATGTGGTCTGTGGCAAAAACCTAAAAAACAAAAAGAAAAGAGAAAATGTACAATATCAGGCCTCACCCCAGCTTTAAACCAGATCCTGCATTTTCTTGGAAGTTCTTGGTAATTCCTATATTTATGAACATTTGAGAAGTACTAGTGTATAGCATTTGTTGAAATCACAAATAGTGAGACACGATTGTTATGGGTCAAAGGTGCCAAGTGGTTTGCTTATATTCTTCTTCATGGGGGTCTATGGAAACAGTTAGCTATGCCTTTGGACCTGATTCTGATTCCTTGAACAATGCAGCTTAAGCTTCTTTTGCCATTTTCCTCATAATTAGAGAGAATTAGGAAGAAAAATAGAAAGGTAAGACATTTGTGGGACACAGAAATGATTTATTACCTGTTGATGATGACGTGTATAGTATTCTTAACTGGACTGGTCTGAAGTGTATTTCATGTTGGGTAAATTCTCTATACAATCTAAATGATATATAGCAATTGAATGTGTAAAAAACAATAATAAATTTTAAAAAATTAATTCCAAAAACAAATATGAAAAAATATTATGAATCTACAGGTAACCAACTTCAATGGGACAAAGCAGCCAAATGCAGAATATCCCTAGAAATAAGGGTTGATTAGTTCCACTCCAGATTCAGCACTGAAGTGCTGCCCTACATTCCGATTAATTAAAACATATGGGTTGTGGTGTCTGCACAATGATTTAGGGGGTTGGGAGACTGCAGCAGGGTAAAACGAAACAGGAGGTGGTGGAGGAACAAAGCAGTATCAAATGGTAAAGACAATACTGATAACTCTTCAGAAAAGGCAGGTAGAATTTGGAACTTCTTTTGGAGGGCGATCTTTAATGAGTCCTTGGCATTTCTACTCACTCTGATCTCAGTGACCATCCATGTGGTCTGTGTGACTCATTTGCCCATCTTCTGGTGCTCACACATGTGGGGCAGCATTTTCTTCCCTGCTCATAATCTGAGTTGTTTTCATAGAGTTAATTCATCTCCATCTGTAGAGGTGATTATGTGACTCAGCCTGGCCAATCTGAACAATGGATTCCTTAGACCATGGTGATTGGTTCAGAAATGGGCATGAGACACATAGAAAATAGGACATGATGAGATTTTTTTGTAGAGAGCTGCTTGGAAGGGACATTTACTCTTTATCTCTTGATTTGAACCCACAAGGATATTGCCTCCTTGTGAGAAGGCCTTGTCTGATAATGGGGACGATGGAAAGAAAGGAGGGACACAAGAAAAATCCATGCCTCGATGATGTTGTTCAAGTCCCTGTTATCTATCCACTGTGTTTTGTTTGTTTGTTTTTAAAGTTACATGAGATGATACATTCTGTTTGTGCTTAAGCCAATTTTCTGTCATGTTTAATTAAGAATTCTAACCTGAATTAATCAAAGTCTAGTAAGTTCAACTCAAGGTCAGGTCTAATTAATTTCAATATCAATTTTCATCAAGATAATGGAAGAAAGCTGGGATTTCCCAGTAATATCCATACTTGCAAAAAGCTAGACAAAATGCTCTATAAACCCAAAGCACCATTAAAGAAAATGTATAAATGCTATAAAGAAAATAGGAAGAAAGTCTTCATTCTATGCCCTATTTTGAAGACATACTGTGCAATTTGTTGACTAACCAAGATTACTGAGGATTCATGTAATTGTAGGGTACATTGTTAGTAGCTATAGCACCAGATATGACCTACAGATAAAGGTAATTTGGTTAATTTATCATATCACTTCAGCACTTTGAAAAACCAAAACAGGGCCTAGAATTTTTTTTGTAAAGTGGACTTGCTATTAGTTATTTTTACATAAGTCATGTATTATTATTAAAAATATGCAATTCTCCTTCAAAAAAAAGCCATTATTTTATATCTTGACATTAAAAGATAAATCATTTTTCTTTTATCCTGGGAATTTTATTGTCTGTGTCCAGACAATTCTCTTTGTATCCTTGGGGTTACTGTCCTGTATTTAGTAGCTTGGGTAGTTTGGTGTCTGCTGAAAAATAAAGAATATCCGGGAAGATGACACTGCGAGATTCTGAGATCACGAGGTGAGTTAGCCTAAAGGATATAGAAACATGGTAAATGGGTATAAACACCAGATATAGTGTGTGAGAAAGAGGAGGGTCTGAGGAAGGACATTTAGAAGAAAAATAGGGAGGCAAAGCATTAATGGCACAAAGAAATGTGGTATTATCTATTGAAGATATTTTATAATTTTATCAACTGAACTAGGGAGAAATGTTCACATGTTGAAATATTCACTTTGTAAGCTAAATAATGGGATTGAATGCATAAAAGAAAATGAAACAAAAAATGTAAATAAAAAATTAAAGTGATAATAAAATTTCCATCCCTAAAAAATTGTTTTTTGATTCTGTCCCTAAAAGATAAGACAATTCTAATTTTTTGATTATCCAGTATACTTGCGGAAAGCCCAAATGCCTAGGCTGCTCTAGTTCAAGTGCAACCTAGCATTATGAGCTAGAGAAGATAATAGAAATTGGGAATTACTGTAAGGGAAGCTCTATAAAAACCTGAGTGACAATATTTAGAATAAATACAAATGAAGACCACTCTTGAATACAAAAGCTCCCTCCCCACTTTCTGCTATAGAGCACATGTGTTTTCTGGAGAGAGACACTCAGAGAGAGAAAGTGAGAAATCATCCCCTAGAGAGGATAGGTACACTACAATACCCTCTCCACTACTTTCTTCTCGGGATTTTGGGCAAGCACACACATGCACACAGCATGTTTTTCAAGCCACTAGGTTCAGGTTTTGAACCTCATGTCAGCCATATGGGATCTAGTGCCTTTAGCCACCTCGCCACTTGCTCGCCCACAAAGGCATCGTTGTATTCTTATGCCACAGGAGCTGTGTGTAGCAAGAGTTCATATTGATTCATCTGATTCGTGCAAAGCTGACTCTAGATTACTTATCATTAAGTGAATCACTTATCAAGAACTGATATTTATTACCTTTGAAACTTCAAAATTCGCCTGGAGATTTCCAGATGCTAACCCACTTAGGAGGACAATTTCATTTTCTTTTGGCTGTTGGACATTCATGGAGCTGATAAGTTTTGGAAGATCTGGTGAAACATTGACAAGTTTCTGTGGAGCAAGAATCATTAGTTTAGCTGATTTATGTTTCACTTTCAAAATACTACCTCCAAATTATTTCACTTGCAAAAATGATTTACTTGTGTAACTGCTCATACTATAGATTGCTTAATCTATCAAACTTATTATTAGAAGAAACGACATAAAATTAAAGCATGGAATTTACATTGGAATGGAAAATGTAAGCTTGAAAAGTTTTTAGTTTTAAAATTTCCAAAGTAAACATTTAGTAATTATTATCACCTCAAAACATAAGTAGTAGACTGGAAATTTTTTCCCTGTTAAACTTTGAACCAGAGAATTGTTTACTAATACTCTTCTGTTCTAATAAAGTCAATAATAATGATAAAAAATAATGATGAACATAGATTTTACTGTATGTACTGAACACTGTATTAAAGACTATGTGTACATATATATGTGTACATATATATGTGTACATATATTATGTCTTACAACAACCTTATATGGATTAGGTAGCATTATGGCTTTTATTACATATATACAGCTTAAGGCCCAGAGTAATTTGCACAAGTTTGTGTAGCTAAATCATTGCCAAAGTGTGTACTCTTAGCCATAGCTGATTATCCCAAATCACTCACATAAATTCTTTAAATGCACAGTTCTTAAGATGCCAATTTGCCAGTGACTGAATGTGTATATATATATATATATATGTATATTTCTCAAAAAAAGTGAGAAATCACTCCCTAGGGGAGATGGCCATGCTGTAATCCCTTCTCTTCTCCTCCATTCTCCTCTCAGGATTTTGGGCAAGCATGCACCCAAGCCCGGCATGAGTTTTAAGCCACTGGGTCCCGGACTCAAACCATGGTCGACTGTGTGGGAGTCCAGCAGCATAACCATTATACCATCTGCTGGGCCTGACTAGGTGCATAAAATTTAAGTCCCAGGTGAATATAAAACATTTAAGGTAAGCAGCAGAAAGGGGGTAAGCCTGAGCAACCAAAGGAAGGTCCAGCTAGTATCACTTGGGTTTTGGAAGGTCTTGGAAAATTCATCTTAGACAGGGTACTTGAGAAGAAAGGAAAAGCAAAAAATCCACTTTAAGGTGGCAACAAGAAGCCCTGGTTTGGAAAGCAGGTTTAATTACACAGGAAAGTAAATTTCACAAATGTAAGGGAAGATTTTATGGAAAATGTCAGGAGAGGATGAGAAATATGGACTAGGCTGGAATCATTTCTTTACAGTCTCCTACAAAGTGAGCTTCATTTACAGATGAAGTTGTGCTGGGGCACCTTGCTCACGAGATCCTGGAGGGTGTAATTTCCAGACCTTACCTGCTGCAGGTGCTCAGTGCTGCAGTCATCCTTGTTCACATCCAGATTCACAAAGCAGACCTAGGAAAGAGGGCAACAACCGTCATTAAGTGAAAAATGTGGTAAGGCAGGAATCCCTTTGCACATAGTGTAAATGGAAGCATAAATAGTTGATAAGGCTCAGAAGCCGTTCATGGTCTAGAGAAGTTTGAGAATATGCGTACAATAATTGAAACTTTGCCCTTGGAAAACAGATTCGATATCCATTAATACTTGGGCTTTTAATAGCATGCAGCTAGGACTGCAGTCACTGAATTGATTAGACAGTTTCCCACTCACCTTTAAGAGAGGTGCATTACCTTGCCCCTGGGCTTCACAAAGCTCTTAATATTTTGTGGCACAGTGGGAGAGGGCAAAGCAGAAACCAGAAGCCAGAGAAAAGCATCTATAATAATGATTTATCTGCCCCCTAATATCAACTTTAGTTCTCCAAGGGTGAACTCTTTTTTCATTCATTCTGGGCTGCAAAATTCTCCTTATACCTGGAGAAAAGCCTTCACACTTGTTAACTCAGCCAAGACAGGAACAAAGCAAGACATACCCCCACCACTTGCCTAGACAAGGCAAGCAGATCTTTCTGTATCTCTCTGGTAGGGCATGAGCCAGGTTTCTTAGAGCCTGATGCACATACACTTTTGAGAGGCATTCTTTAAGGAAAGGAGTAACAAAAAAAATCCTAAATGAACTGAGAAAGCAAATACTTATTTAGAGGGGAAAGAAAAGCCACAAGAAAATTAAAGGTTTACAAATATCACAAACATGGAAACTTCCAGAAAAATGATATTTTAATAAATCAGCTGTCCAATATAGCCATATAATACTTTTTTTTCCAGCAGTTTTGACTGCATCTCTTAGGTCACCTCTTTATGTGAAAACAGTTTTTTAATATCATTTTCTCTAGAGAAACTAGATGGCTAAGCCAGTTTTTCGCTAAGTTGGTTAATTGGATTTTCTTAGTTTCCCACATTTTTACTAAAAATATCTTACTTAATTTTCATCTTATTGTCAAATTTAGTGGAAAACTACTATACGATTTATTTCATATATGAGTTGCTATACTCACTAATTGTGCTACTATCACAGTTTTGTACACGTTGCAGAGGTAAGAATTCTCATGTTTTATTTTTTCCCAGGAAAACTGAGGAAAAAACATACAATACATTTATTATTTTCAATGCTGCTTTAGCAAATAAATTCTCTCTAGGAGAGAATTTCTGGTTCACAGGCATCAATGAAAGCCCAATCTTTTATTTAAATGTTGAATGTCTGATGACAGGAAGAATTCCACATAGACTAACTTTGAGCATGTAAACTTTCTTTCCTCTCTAATCATTACACGTTGTGATCTTGGGAAGCCTAGGACATGCTGAAGAGTCATGTGATTTCTGACCTAACACCTTCACGGCACAATGTCTAGTGGAGTTGCCACTCTTCACCAAGAAGTAGGGGTATTCCTGGAAGCCATTCCTACATACGGATGGCTAGCAATCACTTAACTTTACATGAAAGCAACAAGCCACATGTGTTTCATGTAAATGCAACCCCACTTAAATTTGCTTTAAGCCATATTTCACAAATGCCTGTGGTCTAATGACTCTCAACATGAATGGAAAACAAAAAGACGTAGAGACCGTCTGAATGGGAAGAAACAATTGAAGTTAAAATATCTTACTTTTGAAAATTTACTGGGTCAGCAGATGGATGATGGTTGGGGTGCAGGACTCCTTCATAGCCAACTGTGGTTCAAGTCCCAGGCATGGTGGCTTGCTTTCTTACTTTCCCTCCCTTTTTTTTCTTTCTGTCTCTCTCTGGCAAACACATGTGCCCTATAGCAAATTATATAATAATAGTATAAAATAAAAACAAATATTTTTAAAAAAATAAAAAAAGAAAATTGTCTAGAACATATAACCATATGACTATACTGCTAGATCTTATCCCTGGGTCTTGAAGGTGAATGCCTATCAACCCAAGAGTCTTAAAACCTAAGCTTTGGTAGTTTGACAGTAAATTCATTTCTTGGTGAAATGGTTCATGTGATTGCTTTACTCTTAGTGAATTTTAGTATCTATGACTTTGGGCTGTTTACTTGAAATGTAGGCCTCTACTAAGGCTGAATTCCAGGTGGAAAACATAAGACAAGCTCTGTCTAGAAAGGCTGGGAAATGATGGACATGGGGTAAGAGGATTTAGGAGGGGACTACTAGTCTACATATCCAAGGTGTGTGGGTGCTGAGAACATAATGTTAAGACATTGCTCCTGCACTCAGGGAGTTACGATCTGTCCCAAGGCAGGATCCATTCCAAAAATGACAAAGAACATTGTGAAGTATGGCAGAAGTGGCAGGCCATGTGTGCTGGAGAAGAGTGTTGGGAGAATTAGGTGAGTCATGAATGGCACTTCAGAGCACGGAGAGTTGAGGTGAGCTTGAGAAAACATAGAAAAGTGAAGAGGGGAAGTTTCACCAACAACAATGGGTGATGTTTTCCTGATCAGCACCTGTCAGACACTGACCTGGTGAAGTGGGGAGAAGGATAAGACAGAAGCAATGAAGTCCAAGGCAAGAGGCACTTCCTAAAGAAACTCCAGAAACTAGATCAAAGTAGGTAGGCAGTATCTTTTCCCTTTCACTCAGTGAAGACTGGGAATAATTCAGCAGACATTTAAAAGAGAAGAATGAAAGAGGAATTCATGATTTATGATATGCTCCCTGGGCAATGAGGGTTGAAAGAGATCTCATAGTTAGAATAAAGTATTTCCCTCCTTAGAAGTGAGTCTACTTCCAGTGTTAATACAGGAATGTATAAAGGAAACTTGTCACTGGGAAGCTGAAATTAAGTTTCACTTTTCTGGGCGGAGATGTTAGGAAGAGTGTTATGTCTGACTGAAATAATAAAGCCTGAGAGTTTCTGTGTTGTAGTGTTTTTTTTTTTTAATTCCAATTTCTTTTATACATTCAATCACATATGCCACTTCGTTTGCAAAGTGAATATTCCAACATGTATACATTTCTCACTAATCCAGTTGAGAATGCTCTACACATTATCTTCGACAAATAATAACCCATTTATTTGTCCCATAAAGATAATCTGTGGGTGGGGAGGCTGAGGCCTTATGTCCAATGAGTTCATTCAAATATGGCAAATGACCCAGGGAAGGAGTTTTTTAAAGTACGTGTATTTACAGAATTACCATTTTTTTTTTCCTTGAACATAGTCTATCTTCTTAAGATTTGGTAGGTGCTCAATAAGTTATTATCGGCAAATGAACATGACAGGGAACAAGCAAGTGGCATAGTGGTCAAGATGCTGAACTCTCACATGGTCAACTGCAGTTCAAGACCCGGACCTGGCGACTTGAAATTCACACTGGCGTGTGTGCATGTGTGCCCAAATGCCTGAGAGGAGAATAGAAGAGAAGGGATTACAGCTTTTTATCACTTTTTCTACAGTGAGTACACATACTTCATAGCAAAAATCTCTCAAAAAAATATACATGACAGAATGAAGTGGAAGTACTGCCTCAGGTGACAGGGCACACCAGAGGGATAATGACAATGATTTTCCTTATCTATAAATGAATTCCAGTGTAGTTAATAAAGTTTTCTCCTAATAAGGATATAAGGGGATACATAGAGAAGTTAGAGATGAGCACTGACAGGATGGGGAGGTGTGGTGTAATCTGTTGAAGATACTTTGATCAACTGGACTGGGGAGAAATGTTCACATATTGAAATGTTCACTCTGTAAACTAAACAATGTGATTAAATGTAGATAAAAAATAAAAAAAAGAAGTTAGAGATGAAGTAACTGAGTAAGCTGGCCCTCACTGAGTAGTTAAGGAAGCCAGATCATACATGGCTGATACAGTTTGAATCTTGGAGACAGCAGGTTGAAAAGCAAGCTGGGTGCATGTGTGAGTGCCCCAAATCCCAATGGGATGGAGAAACAGAGCGGAAGGGATTGCAGCATGACCTGTTGGTGTAATTTTTTTCTTCTTCTCTTTCTATCTCTCTCTGGTGAATATATTCTCATCCTCTAGCAATTAATAATAATAATAATAATTAACTGGGTAAGACTAATCCAGCTATTGGCTACTATTTAAAGTACTTAGATAAACTTCTTCCCATGAATACAGATTTGCTAAGTAAATAGAAAAAGACAAAATGTTGGGAACCATCACTGTTAATAAAGACAAGTAAAAGGTATTATAGTTTTCTTGGAATGGAAGTTCTTTTCAGTCACATAAAATACATTTTGTTTCATGTCTATGGACACCTTTGTTTAGACTATCTGCAGACATATTCTACCAAAGCAGATGGAAGCTGGACTTCAACTCAAGGGAGTACAGACACTTTTCTCTTGACTACTTAATAAAGCTAATTTTGTGTTGGTACTCTGATTTTCAAACTCCTATGTCACTTTGTTTTCCTTATTATGATTTTAAAATAAAACATTTTAGGACTAAGCATCATTGATAAAATGATGTTATTTTATAGTTTTGACTTTTACATAAGTTAATAAAATATTCTTCAAAGTTATTAAATGTCTATAGACAAAATGCTGTTTTCTCAGGTATTATGGCTTATTTAGTCAAGTGATCACAATTAGTTTCTTTTATTTATAACTCTATTTTTATGAAGTTCCATGTAGAAATTTCTAAAAGTAAATTTTATTGTGATATTTTATTAGCTGGCAATATAAAACATTTTGTGAAAAATTAGTGTGAGAAAGGGACTGACATTAGAACCTAGCAAAGCAAGACAAAATGAATTTTGGAGGGGGGCTTGAAAATTACAACATAGATTTTATTAAAGGATTTTTGACATTTTATTTCTTTAAAATTTTTATCTTGACATTTTTAGGCAGGACTTTCTATCCTGGTAGTGTGGATAAAACCAACTAGTTTCTCTGCTCATTTCAAAGTCAACATCAGCTAACTGAACAAAGTTGTTGTATTTATTCTACTCACTATTTAAAAAGGACACCGTTTTTCAATAAGACATCCTGTCCCTCTTTGA